CTACTACTACTACTACTACTACTACTACTACTACTACTACTACTACTACTACTACTACCTATTTTTTCCAGGCAATTCATTTCATTGGTCCCCGGAAGCATCATTTTGTACAGTTGAGTGATTCGAGGGGAACCTAAATACTGAGTAGTGTGTCGATGGGTTACATGGCATTCCAGATAATGCCAAATTTGGTACTCAAATTAATGAGGTTTTTGCCGACTATCACGTTTGAAAAATGGAATAGTGAAGTTTCTCTCAGTAGTGATACGTGGATAAATGTGCTCAGCACATGAAATCAGGAAAATCACGACGAACATTCACAGGGAGCTGCTTTTTTGCCCCCTACCATCCTTTATTCATTCTTTACTAGGCATTCCAGCTGTCGTTTAGGGACATACTACTTAAAATATAAATCATTTGATTTTTCGTGCCTCATGCACTTCGGAACACTTACAATATATCTGCGTTGCAACGTCGTAGTTGTATTTATCAAATTTCTCGTGCACCACAAACGCGGAATGAATATCAAGATGGATTTCGAGTATACCATTGGAACCACGGTCATCTTTAACCGTTTAGGCATATTACGAACCATTAGATCAGGGATTGGAGCTGGGAAACGTGAGTTGAAGTCATCTTGTCTATTGAATAATCCCTAGTTAGGTGTCCCCAATTCATGGATGACCGGTCGTTGTAGACTTTTTTCTTGCCTTATCTCTCTCCTAGTTGTGTTGATTACTCTTTTGTCTGTTATGCTTTAAAGCAGCATATGACCCTCTCTGGTCTCAAGTGGCCTTATCAAAGCATATTCTTGCGAGCCAGGCCAGTCAAAGGGCACTAGATGAAACACCGCATTTCCTTGGCTCTGTATCTGGACTGTATACAGTAGGAACATATTTTGTTATCAAATGTTGTTCCCTTTATTCACGACATAAAAGTGTAATCCTATGCTTTGCTGTAAATGAACTACTTGTCACCAGCTGTTCCTCATTTTGAGTTTGCTCAAGAAAACAACATGTGATCACTTGTTAATCCGGGCATAAATGTCAAATACAGAACGTCTGACTAGTCCACCTATCAAGGATGTGCTACCCCCAATACGCATAAGATTACTGGGACTGGAAATGATCTGGAATGATTGTAGCTCGGGATGCGGCTGTTGGTGCTGGTGTGTTTTCCGAGCTGGAAGTGTGGTTTGCAGACGTTTCGTAGTCAGGATAGGCAACATACCCGAAGTCGCAATGATGATGTTGTTTACCCTGGCTAGGCAACAACAGCTCGAAGAACATACAATACCAAAATTATTGGGACTACGTTTTTACTGTACTGGGGGCTTCTCCTGTAGCTACTTTCTTAGGCTTTTCATTAATCCTGTCTACCCTCACTTTATCTGTTGAGCTATTTATGCAGTGTCCGTGAATCTCTATTCCATCCTAACAATCACATCATTCAGCCAGCAATCAATTCACACTGGTAATGATCACAGGTGTATCACACTGACGCACTCAACCATGCTGATCTACCCTAGTCGTCATCCCAGTGCACTCGTTTGATCGATAGGGCCAATCAATCGTGCCTGAACAATATTGTGTCTGTATACAGTGTTTGCACGGTGGAATAGACAGAATAAATGCGGTTTCACGCGTGCATGCTTACATATCAGCGTGCGCGTGGACGTGTTTCTCTGTGTATGTATGTAATGGTATATCCATGCCCTAGTGCATACGTTTTTCTACCGATTGAAATCCGGATGTTGGCGCCGGTGGTTGGTTTGTATGCAAGCCGCCACGTGGTTCATACTACTGCAATGTCACGAGATTTATACACAAGTGCATTAGTCTTCCTCGAGGTTACTAGGTGCTACGCGCTTCACCACATGCCATCACTCACGTGGCCAACCAACGAGGCCGTTTCAATTGACATCGATACAGATATGTAAGTATACTTCAGACTCATTTAAAGCTTCTTCCGAGGTCAATGCAGTCCCTGTCTACATTCCATGTCGAAAAACCGATTGGAAACTGAAATGCCATTCTAATTTTGGACTATCGACGGTGCTCGTTGCAGTTTTCATTCAATCGGTGAATAGAACACTGAAAATGGGTCTGTCTGACTTTCTGGCTTCGTACAGAATTCATCAACTAGTTTATTCTCACAGATGAATGGAACGGTCAATGCATGATAGAATGGAATCATTTTTTAATCACAATAATTGGTTCTTTCGATGCTCCGTTTATTGCTTCAAATTCAATGCTANTGCTAGTCGAGTTGAGATGAAATAGGTACCACGTGTGCGCTATTTTTTCAACTGTTATTCGCAAATGCGAGCAGTACATCGATACTCCTTTGCTTACTCATTTGAGTAGTATTCATAAATCTTGTTTATTTCTTCCATTGCTCCATGAAGTTGTTTCCGATAATCTGTCACATACTTTTACTGTTTATTGATTTGATAGCTTACGTGTTTCCTCAGTCTGAACCGAACTTGAAGTTATGTGCCAGATATTATATTATTATTATTATAATATTATTATATTAACTAGACAGGTTCTATCTCCCTGATTTATCTAGTTAGAGGACTGACATGAATCTGTAAAATTGATGGTGAAATAAACGATCAAACTGGCTGGGTTTCCTTTTGCTCCTACTCATCTTATTTTCTTTGGATAGACTTCCTAGCACACAAAATCTTCGGGTTCTAGCTCAATGTTTTGTGCGTTAATGGTTTGATTTTCATTCCGGGATTCAGGTTCAGTCCTTAGCACTATGTATCTAACGAGAGGTGAAACGTGGACGATACTGCACGTCAGCAGACAGAAGTTGACCAGCTTGAGCGGGCGACAACTGTTCAATGAAGTGCGTAGAACTCGACCACTGTCGAANCATGTTCCCCCTCCTACGTCCATCTAGGTGGTTTTTTACCACTAAACTGATCCTTTCTGTTTTTATTCGCTGAACTAACCTCTCTATAGACGAAAGTGGATAGTCAAAGAAAGTCAGGTGGCGAAACTGATCTTTTTCTAGCCTCCAACCGTGGACCTTTCAGGCATGATTGGAACTGTGATTGTGAGAGACCATCCTGTATAGCTCTGATGGTCATAGAAGCCCTCAAGACGTCTCAACCCGTCGATATCGAGATTCACTGTGATTGGAAATGTATAAAAACCGGAATTGAGTTAGTAAAATTATTTCTTATCATATACAGTTTCGCTTTCTTATATTGAATGCAATACTGTACAACTGTGCAATGGTTTCTCATGGGCAGGCAGAGAAGTGGTGAATTAGGGTGACAGTGACAGTCGCTTATATTCTTCCACATGGTTTTTGGCGCACGCGTCTGACAGAACGTCCGCGCGCTTGGCGAGTATCATTTTCATTGCTGGGCACGTTACTTCCGCGCTCATTCGAAGCACATGGGGGAAACAGATGTACACAGATATTCTGTACCGATGGAGTGAAACTGACTAATTAATTAGCGTCTGGTAACACGACTAAATCGCTCGATTTCTACCTTTGAGGTCCCTAGTGTCATCTTCATTGAGGTTGGTTGACCTAAGATACTGTTTACTTTAATGCAACTACCAACTGGAAGACGAGTCTGATTGAGGAAATCTTTAACAACAACTACCCATGCGTGATGATTTGCACAAATGTATATCCAGTTGCGGCTGCGTTGGCATAACAATTCCAAATTATCCATGTTGATTTTGGTGATGCTAATCCGCGTTTTTTCGTTCACACAGAAGCCAGCGCCATTCTGTCCAGATGATTCGGTGAAAACAGCTTTTCTCAATTTCCTATTCTAGTAGTCTGACAACGTGCACCAGTCACTGAAGGCGGTGCTGTTGGAAGAACGGTGGTCATTTCTTGGCGTTCAAGTAACGTTGTTGGAGCCTGCTGTTGGGAAGCCACCTTTGTCAGTGCAGTTTCAAAATGACCTGTAGATAGTAATGGTCAATTTTGTGCAGTTTCTATACAGCCTTAAGTGTCGGAGGTCTTATTTCACATTTATAGATAAAAGCAAGTCAAATAGTAGTCTTAAATGCTTGCGTTCTCGTACTAAGGTCTACTTCACGGTGTTTCTGATTTTGCATTGCAAAGCCACAAGAATGCTCTCTTGGTGCAGTCTAAGCGGAGTTGGTTAGCATTGACTTAGTGAGTCTGCCTCGCTAAATGACCAGCTGCGGAAAGTCAGCGGAGATGTCCGAGGATGTCGTGGGTTTTCATCCTAGCTCTGTGCTTAAATCAAAAGTGTCCGTCAACGATGTTGTGTCGCATGCAAATGTGGCTCATCACTGAATAAGGTCATAGCCTATCTCAATAGACGGACCATATGAATATCATGGATCGACCCAATCCATCCGAAGGACGTACAAACCCAAAGTTTGGAGACAAACTCCTAGCAACTTTATTTCCCCGCTATCAAGACTTGCATACTTATTGATGCACGTTTTATGGATGTATGCTGGTACAGTGGTATTATGCTAGGAAAACCACTTGTTGACTTGTTCTGTATCAGTCGACTGATGGATGCATCACTTGTTGATACGTAATAAGTTTAAAACAGCCGTGGGTTACTCGTAAGTTTTCAAATTCGCATTTCCTTTCCACTGTAAGTTATGAAATTATTTGCAGAAGTGGATGGACAAAATGAACAGAAAATACAATTACCGGGGGCAGAGTAAAACGCACGTACTATGCGTGCGCACTTTTTCATTTATGCATCGCGCTTGTCCTCTACTCCCCTAATCCGTTTTGACTTTAAATAGCTTTTTTCCAAATCTAACTCCTTTCACACCATCAGAGATGGCGCATTCGTCACAAAGGAAAGAAATTCGCAGTTCCAGTCAATGCGTTGACCCGTTTGTTGTCGGTTTGATTGCCGTGCACCGGGCACCTCGATTCTCCTTAGGTGTGCCCGGAACATCTAATGCTAACCAGTCCCGAAGTCGGAGCACTTCACCAGCCATGATAAACGCATCTGGCTCACCAAATACGGACGGGAGTATGTTTATGAAAAACTGGTGAGTTCATAATAATCTATAGTCTGTCTGAATGCTGTTACTCTTGAGGCTGTGTTGGGATGGATACAGAAATTTCGATTTCTGTACTCCTGATGCACTTGCAGACTTGTATTGTGGAATAGAAGCGAACAGTTCATTCCGTTATTGATGAAACAGTAATTCTGTGTTAAATTAGGATTAAGTTCGCATTTTTACTCAGTGTTATCGAGTTTTACTTCTACCAGTAAATAAGTAGTTAGTTTATTAGGACACTGACGCTGCACCAAAGGCCTCTGGAAGTTTTGCATCCTTACTGGAGATCATTAGCAGTCTATATCCGCTGAATCCCTAAAGAATCATCATCATCCTCATCGCGCAGCAGCGTGCAGTGAAGCGAAGTTTCTTAATCGCTGCCAAGCTCAATGCATACAAGGTAAGTGAGAATGTGTAAGAAGAATAGGGATTGGGTCCATTCTTAGGAACAGGTAAAGAAAGCGAACCTCTATGGTTAGTACACAGCGTACACAGTTCAACTGTGCACACATACTATTTCACGCATTCCTTTCTGACAAAAAGTGACAGCAAGGCCGCCACTGTTTTCAGTTTGATGCCATGACTTTCATTGTCTCCAACCATGGAGTTTTTTGGACCTCAACCGGAATGACAAGAGACATCTACTCTACCTAATCGCTCAGCACATTTCTTCATGCCTAGTCTCCACGATATCTGCTGCGTTCACCTAGCTTCCTCTAGTCTGGAGCGGCCACTGCAAATAAGGCGCGGTATGGTAGGCGACCGTTATGTATATGCAAAAATTTCCTAACCACTGGAGCCTATGGAGTTATGTTCGATGTGATAGTGAGTTCTTGTTCAACGAATTCCGATAAACCCGACGACTTACTTCTAGGTTACTAGCACGCAAGCCACCCCACATGAGTGAGACGACATAAGCATTAGTTGTCGAAAACCGCTAGGCGATGGATGTCTTCTAGCCCCAAATTCAAGGTCTCACAACCGTAAAGCAGAACGGATCGTACAGTGGAGCAGTATACGAAACTTTTCAACTTCAGTGAAACGTTACTTCGTTGCCTTAGGTGTATTAGTCCTGCGTACGCTACCCCCAGCCTTGGAAATGCGAGCGGCTATCTCCTTTGATGAGCTATCCTTCGTTGGTCATGCAACTATCCAAGGACAGGAAGCAGTCCACTTCAGCAAATTTCTGACCATCTAGTTTCGGAATGGTATGCGGCGACACCCAGTATTGCAGCATCACTTTACATTTTGAAGGTGCAAAGTGCATACCAAACGGAGCACCAGAACTTGCTACTTTGTCAAGAGCGCTTTGCGTATCCTTCATACATTCGAACAGACAGACGAATTCATTCGCGTACATACAGCGTTTCTGCAACTGCCTATTCAATAAATACATTTTGGAAATCATTTAGTGCGTTCCCCAGTGTTTCGTCGTAGAGGAAATTGAACAACAACGACGAACTAGAACAACATTGAGGAACACCGCTGCTAGTTTGTGTTCTCTTCACCATAGAGCCTTACTCCTCCAGAAAGATGCGATTAATGTGACCTCAATAGGTTTGCATACTTCTGCGACATTCCTTTGCAAAGGATCACCCCCCTCCCAAAAACGAACTCGGGCATCACGGCTTATTAGTATGATGCGCATTTATGGTATCTGTGATGACTGTCAGCTGCTTGTTTAACATTGATACTTACACGGTCGTGCGCTTATCCACCACGGTCTTTAGGCAATGGATACCCTCGCGACACATTCTTACTATGAATGAACCGAACGGCTTTGTCTACCGAATCCTTATCTTGTAATACGAACCAGTTTGAAATAATCGAAAAAAGAATGGAATTCCTCTGCTTCTCCTAGTTCATTGGAATTCAGTGCAAACGTAACTCATTTCTACCTTCAGTATTCATCACTCAAAGTACCTATCCAAGTTTTCTTGACTCTTTTTCAGTATTCCATCATGAATAAACTATTTGAAAAGTGATTAGGGTGGTCTCAAAAGAATCGCTACCTCGCGTCACTTTGTACGTGGATTTTTTCATTAATTTGCTTTAGAGGCACACGTTGAAAAGATAAATGAGCATAGTCTGAGTGAATTAAATGTACCGCTGCCGGTGCTCGACCAATCATTTCTATTTTGTTCACTCTTCGATTACGACCGATCGAGGGACGGAGGTAATTCTTTTCGATTATGACAATCTACTTTCGAACTCCCTGAAGCGCTTCCGTTGATGAGTTGACTCAATCACGACTGCCATATGCTAGTGCCACCATCCTATCCGCGATCCACAGGTATCCAGTAGCTCAAACTTACCTCCACTAATCTACGGTATACGCGTTATCCCTACATATTGGCAACCGCTCCGTCTCTTCTGCATGTGCATCATATACTTGCGCGTAATCCCTCATTACTGCATTTTTTCGCTTTCCTGTTGATTTTTAAAAACTTCGTTTCTGATCCACAAGTCGACTAAATCTGACGTTTTCACTTGAAAACCAAGTAATCACGATTATGATGATTGCCATAAAAACGATCATACTGATTCTTAATATCATACAATTCAGTGAGGTAAGAGTAACAAAATGTGTGCTGCTGTCAGTCACATTGCATAGACTGATTTCACTAGCGTAGCGTGAGATATCCAACTATTTGATCTGATATGATCGTCGGCTAAAAGATCGACGGATTGCAGTCCAGCTATCAGAATGAACTTTGTACGCTAATCGTCACGTTCATTTTCACATCTAAATCTCAATTTTTTACACACTGACGTTGGTCACTGGTATCATCTGTGGATTATTGAACCATTAGATCACAACGTCTTTCAAACCGATACGGGTGATCTGCTTAGCTTCAAAATTCTGAGTGTTAGAATATGGTTAGGTTTGGCCTTCTCTAGCTTTTGACGTATGTGGTTCAGACATTACGTCAGCCTTGATTTTAAAGGTCAATTGTACAGTGTCATAGTACACGCTGTACTCCTGTATGGATTTGAAATCTTACTAATCAGGTCAGGTCAGGTTTCACAGAACTAATAGTGGCCACAGACCAATCGAGCGTCCAGAATTCCCTCGGTGGTGTGCTCTCGAGTGTGCGTTCAGTTCTGCGATTGATCGGTCTCTCTTTCTATCTGCAGAGAGAAAGAGAGACTTTACTACTCGCCCTATCGGCGAGAGACCACCAGTTGTTTTTGATAGCCATTGCCTTGACACAATCATTAGTGGATGCATCACGTGGTCAAGTAAGTCAGAGTGTTTCCGACTTCGGAAGCCTTTGCAATTATCATTTTACTGCATCGATTTTGGCTAGGTTCTGTGATGAGAATGCCCATCCAGCTACTGGTACTGCTCGCTCTATATGCAATCGCTGGTCATGGACGAAAGATATGTAGTTATAGTTGGACTATGAAATAACGAATGAAAACAGAGGTGTGTAGGCTCATCATGACTTTCAGGTTTGTAACTAGATGGGGACCGAATACAGTAGCGGAGCTATTCCACATTTTCCGCAACCTCATAAAAACTCGAAAGATAAAGGTCAAAACTGTTTGCGGTAAAAACACAAAAAATTTATGCAGTTTCCCCTTCGTTCTTTTTCCCATTCTTTGGGGAGTTCAACATTCATATCTGTTTGATTTAATCGAAGCCCCTATCAGGATAGGTTTTGAGGGCTCCAACAGAACTTCAATCATTTTGCACGACTTCATGTTGCTTTTGATACTCTCTCCATGCTCTACGTACACGTGAACAGAGTGTGCTTTGCTGTTCTTCATTTTACTTTTCTCTTCGGTCTCTCTCCAGTTTGGACAGTCGTTTCTATGTTCGACTCAGTCTGATCTACGCTGGCCGTCCGTTGAGCAGCATCTGCCCGCAAGATTCTTCTTCATTCGGCTCCAGTCAAGCCACAAGCCACGTGCACCAAGCACAGTCCAAATCAACCCCATTCAGTCGGGATACATTCTATAGTGATGCTGGTCGCACTCAGACAATCCTATCCGGATTTCCAAAGGTGCTACAGTTCGATCAGTGGTTTAAGTTTCCCGGTCAGTTATTTCTTTTCCCATAGCTGTTTGCCTCATTTCGCTCCACAACTTATTACTTTCGTTTTCTTGCTATTAAGCCACAGTTTGTGGTTTCAAAAGTACAACCATTGTTTATTAAAGTAGGAGTAGCCACTAAAATCTAAGATAGCGCCACGCGCCTAACAAAAAACATTTGTGAAATGAAATTCAAAATCGGCCACATTAGCGAGTGAAATGTGTGAAAATGAAGTCAAAAATGCATCCGAGACAGGGTTAACTTGTTAGAACTACCGGAAACAGTGGGTGTTCATCAGCTTTACATAAGTTCGGTTTACACAGAGATCGAAACCCAAATTTGTGTGAAAGTAAACAGAAAATCCAATAATTCTATTCCTACCAAAGAGTTACATCATGTCTCCTAGACATATCCTGTGAACGAAATATCCTGTGTTGAATTTGCCGTACATGTCTCATAAAACAGTTTATGGAGACTGAGCACCGCTGCATACACACACTCACACATAAATCGACGGGAAAAGTAATCATGGACCCAAATATGGTTCATACCGAGCAGCGACTAAACCGGTGAATTCGTC